TGCTGTTGAACTCCTTCTAATGGTGGGACGAATGGTCTATGATTTTTTAAACGCAATTGTAAATCGTCCAATATCTAAGTGATCAATAAAATAAACAATTTTATAACATAATAAAACTACTTTTGTAATAGTATCAATTTAGTGAACTAAAATATTCCAAATAAGAAACATTGGTATGTAATGGGTATAGAAAACCGATGATGGTTCCGTTCCTGAAGAAGTTGGATAAATTACTCGATGAAAAGCCCTTTCAAGAAGTTTTCTGATTTTCACCGATAAAATACCTAATAATAATAATTACGGTGAGAAACAAAATCTGATAATTTTTATAAAGTTATTCGTTTTATAATATTCTCAAAGGGGAGTTTTCGATATTTCTGGTTCTGAATGATAAAAGCATTTTGCCCACAGCAAAAATGATGCGGTAATTCGTTCCAAACGTAGGCTCTTAGTTTTTATGGTTTAAAGGCTATTTGGTCTAATTCAAACAGTTGAAATCGTGCTTTTTTTCAAAAACACTGAATATCTCAAAAATTACTACAGATAGATATAGGAAACTGTCTACACAAAGAAACCAACAGTGTAAAAATATACAGGGTATTCAATTTAGAATAACGAAGTTAGGTAGCGCTCAGAAGAAATGGAACACTCTGTATGACCGGTTTTATAAAAACATTTTTGTTATCAAAAGTATAATAACAGAGTTATGGGAGAAATCGCCTTAGGTGGAACACCCTGTGTAGTGTATTGATATATAAAATAAGTTGCTTATAAAGAAGGCCGGTTATAATAAATACCAGAAATTTTGGTACAATATTTTACAAATAAAATTTACCTTTTGTGGTATATCAATTTTAAACGGCACTATCGCTTCATTACTTTCTTTTGGAGATCCCGCGCCCCACCAACGTTCTTCTAGTTGAGGTACAGGAGGAACATCGAAAAGATCCTTAATTCAAGAAAATAATCCACTTCGTTGCTTATATTTATAATATTTTATTTTCAAAGATTGTGTATAAAAATATGTATAAAAGGTTATGTTTTGTTTGTATTTGTTCCCTTGTTGATTTCTTCGAATTTGGCAACTGCGGCCCATACGTCGTTTGCTAAAATTTGAGGTAGTTCGAAGGCTGCAAAATGCCCTCCATCATTGTAGTAATTTGATTGCACCAAATTTACGTATTTTGACCTTATGACCTTATTTGGAAGATTAATTAATTCGTTTTTGAACTTTGCACAAGCTGCCGGTACTGTTACAGGTATGCTAAAATAATAAAAAATATATTACAACTGTAAACACTAGGTACAATAAATGTGACAACTATTTTATAATATCTAGTTTAATTTCAGTATTTCAATCAATACTTAAAACTATGATAGTTTGAAAACCAATTAATTTATTGCAAACTTTTTAGACTATTATTTATTATCTGTTAGATTAAATACTTGCCTGTCTAAATTTAGAGACATTTGCTGTTTGTTGAAATTTTCAGAGTACAGCCTCGCTGATGTCGTTATACTTCCGGTCACCCAGTATATCATGACGTTATCAAGCAAATCAGTGTACGTAAATTTTTGCTGAAGACCTCCATCTTCTTTATCCCTCCAATTTTTGTTGGTCCACGTTGAGAATTTTTCAATAATGTAAGCGGCTAAACCGACCGGGGAATCATTTAGACCAACTCCTAAAATTGTTTTTGTTTTCATCATTATAAATTAAGGATACTAAATAATGCGGGGTGAACCGAACGCAGCGACTTTTCGTCCGATGAGCGACCATGCCTACCGGGCTGGTTCGCCATTGAAATTGCCGGACTTGAACGTTCCGACCGTTGCACCGCGCAAAACCGAACCGTTGCACCGCGCGAAGTATTCTTCATTGTAAATTTTAATCAATCTAGAATAATATTGAAGTGAAGTTGATATCATAGATCTGTATAGACAAAACATAGTCTAGATTTTATAAAAATCCTATTATCTTTGGGTATTTGAATATTAAAGTCAAGAAGACTAGAGACAGGAGCCTAAACTACATCGGGTTTCGTATCGTTTTGCACGCCGCGTAAGAGCGTCAATAAATTCTGCTCGATGGTTCGTTGCGTAGTATGGTAGTGCGCATCCGATTTGACGTATGATGTATACAGGCAAGAAACAAATTGATGCGCAGTCGCACATCTTTCAACGGACTGTTTAAGTTATTTCTCCTGTATTCTATCTTCTTGACTAAAGATTGTAACAACAATTTTTGAATCGACTTACCAACGGTATCTGGTTTGGTAGACTGGATATGCAAATATCCTGATTCTGTTAGCATAAACGAAAACGTTTCGGACAAGGGGTATATTGATTTCTCGTGGTCATCTTCAATTATTAAAGAAGGAAAAACGCTTCCTATTAGCAACTGTATTCTTGTTATTGCACTGTTTACAAAACTGCACGCATTAGAGTGTAGACCTAGTACGTTTTCTGGGTACAATACGCCCATGATGCTAACAATTAGAGCGCCCCAATCGCCTCCTTGGATGTAGTACTTTTTGTGACCCAATCGATTCATCAATTTATTAAATATTTGCGTCATTTGGGCCGGCCCAAATCCTGGTTTCGATGCAGCGTCGGAGAAACCGTATCCTGGTAAAGATGGAACAATAACTTCAAAAACAAAGTCTCTTCCACTTTGTGGCTTTGTTAGAAGAGGAATTACATCATAAAATTCTCTGACGGATCCTGGCCACCCGTGAAATAATATTATTGGCAAGACCCGTACATTTTTTGGCAATGAAGATGATGGTTTGACGTGAATGAAATGTATATTGAGTCCTTGTATTTCAGTTTTGAATTGCGGAAACTTGTTCAGAAACTTTTCGCGTTCTCGCCAGTTGTACTTGTTTATCCAAAAGTCTACAATTTCACTGAGAAGACCTGTGTTCATTCCGTAATGCTGTTGAACTCCTTCTAATGGTGGGACGAATGGTCTATGATTTTTTAAACGCAATTGTAAATCGTCCAATATCTAAGTGATCAATAAAATAAACAATTTTATAACATAATAAAACTACTTTTGTAATAGTATCAATTTAGTGAACTAAAATATTCCAAATAAGAAATATTGGTATGTAATGGGTACAGAAAACCAATGATGGTTGCGTCCCTGAAGAAGTTTGATAAACTGCTCGATGAAAAGCCCTTCCAAGAAGTTTTCTTATTTTCACCGATAAAATACCTAATAATAATAATTATGGTGAAAAACAAAATCCGATAATTTTTATAATGTTATTCGTTTTATAACATTGTTAAAAGGAAGTTTTCGATATTTCTGTCTCTGAATGCATTTTACCCTCAGCAAAAATGATAGGGTAATTTGTTCTGAAACGAACTGTCTAAACGTAGGTTCTTAGTTTTTATGGTTTAAATGCTATTTAGTCTCATTCAAACAGTTGAAATCGTGCTTTTTTTCAAAAACACTTAAATATCTCAAAAATTAGATAAGTATAGAGAACTGTTAAGAATGTCTACCTAAAATTAAACAAAGAAACCAACTGTGTAAAAATATACAGGGTATTCCATTTAAAATAACTAAGTNAAGTTCAACATATTTCAGAGATCCCACTCTTTCTACGAGAGGCTCGAGTCTCTCAATTTTTCAGTTTTATTCACTTAGTCTCTCTGTGAGAGCCTCGAATATCTGAATTAACAATTTTATTGTTCGAGTGTTTCATACAGAGGTTGTAAGAGATCCATAAAAACACCTAGGAAATAACTGAGAGACTGTAAAAGACTGTGAGAGACGCACTCAAAGACGCTGAAAGACTCTGAGAAACTTGAGAGAGACTGAATATTTTTGTCTAGGGAAGTGAAAAAATTGTAAAGGATTGATTAATATGCCAGTAAATTCGATAGATAAATATTTATTTTTTATCGATACATACCCTTCTAACTGTAAGGTTCTATTCTCTTTAGAGAAGTTCTCTGCGTATAAACATACTGATGTGGTAATTGACTCAGTTACCCAATAAATCATGACATTATCCAATAGATCGTCCAATTTAAATTTCCTTTCTAAGCCACCATCTTCCTTCCCAATCAAAGAATGATCAGTCCAAGATATAAACTTTTCTAAGATATATGCTGCCAAACCAACTGGAGTATCATTTAAGGCGGTTCCTACAGTGATGAGAAACATATGTTAGTAAAATAGTGTTTTATAAAAATTGTTTACTAAAAATAAAAACAAATAAACGAAGATGTTTATAATGGTCCTTACCAAGTATGTAATAGTTACAAGGAAAATAATTATCGAGAGGGCAAAGGTTTTCTAGTTGAGGTACAGGAGGAACATCGAAAAGATCCTTTATTACCTTTGCCGAAAATAACACGAAAATCGAGGAAATTATGAACACTAATTTTCCTACGAAACCCATTTTTGATTCACTTTTCACTTTTCACTATTTTATTTAACAAAAAAATTACTTATTTATCCGATAAAATGTATTAATATTTTCGGATTCTTAACAAAAACAATGAATTGCAAATTTAAAATAGCGAATCATGCTTTAAATTCACATACTCAAGGTTACGCCAATAAATGATACTTGTTACTGTGGTTTCGTGTGTTTTGTATCTTGCTTGCGGCACTTTGGAGCCTATTATACAAGGCATCGTTCATTATTTATCAGTTGATGGGACAGGATCGTATTCAGAAAAATTTTGGTTTATTTAAAATTAGATGTCGTATGTCTATACATACCTAACTATATAAACACGTTTATTATAAATTTGAACAAATATAGAGGCTTGGATTTAGTTTACATCGAGATCCTAGCGGAGTCAGGAGGGTTGGAGGGCGAAGCAGAAGGAAAGGGTAGGAAAAGCTTCGTAGTAGTGGGGGAACGTTGCAAAATTTAANTATCCATTGATATTTGATTCTTATATAATCGTAAGCGACATTATAGACTATAAACTATAGGGTTTTAATGGAATATACATGTGCTTATGTAAAATAATTTTTAACAAATTAAATCCGATCTATATTCTATACAAAACAGTTTCAAGGTCGAAAAATTGAATATAATGATAAACAGTGTTTAGGTATTTGTTCATGATTCAATCAATTTAATGTAATCGCAACGTAACAATATACACTATAATAAACAATTGTAATTTTGACATTTTAATGAAACTGCATCCAACAATTGAGTGAACGAGATGGAGTACGCTATTAAAGGTCTGATAAACTTTAGCAAGTAATGTAAAAATAGATTATCTTGCTATTGTGCGTATTTTGTAGCTGCCTACATTAACTAATACGATATGATTCAAACAAAATTTTGGATAATTATTACCTGGTCTGATACTTGGATTTTGAAGGGCCTAATTTCTGTATCCTCTGTTTCAGGTGATGAACCAGGTCCCCACCAGGTATCAGGAAGAACTGGTTTGGGAGGATAAGTGAACAACGCCTTTTTTATTTTAAACACAAGAAATGTTAAGACACCGGCTAAAACTACAAGTAAACACAAACACATTTTTCTATCGTTTTAGAGTCACAGTCAGACCGTCAATTATGTATAGGATTTTAAGTATTTTAAATTATTTCTGTGCGAGTCTTTATTGTTTAGTGCTGATAAGAACGAATTCAGATAACTGTTCCAACAATACAGCGCTTACTTGACTGACGATGTGTCTGTGGCTCTCCGGCTCTGCGGCCTTACAATTTCAATAAAATATTTGCGCTTATATTTATATATATGTCTGGCATTTTTCATACACAATTTTGATGACAAATATCGCGATGAGTTCTATTTTTTTATCAAAAAGGCGTGTCCAGGGACGTAGTCAGTTTTTTTTGTATATGTGATCAAACGTGCAGATTTTAATTTGCATACTACCCAAAACGCTATATTAATGTAAAACTACACGTACAAAATGTAGGATTGTACCACTCCTAGGCTAGGAAGCGAAACCTTACTCTTAATACACTAAACCTGCGTGCCCATAAGAACCACCCCTACCTGATCTCTTAAGGACATTCGGAATAACAATAAATTGTATTAATATATAGTATTTTGTTAGGTACATTAAAGCAGTACCCACATAATATAAACAAGCAATTGTAGTATTTTAAAAAAATCCTATATGAGAGGAAAATCTCAAATTTTTTGATTTGAAAAATACATAGGTATACACTTAGGTATGTATTTTTCGGTGGGTTTTGGAAAAAGTAGAAGATTATCTGTGGATTGTGGATATTAGCAAAAATGCTGGGTACTTAAGGATACAGGGATGAGATATAGGGATAGAAGGACGATATAGATATAGTTTGTAGAAAATGCAACAGTTACTTACAGAATCTGAGGAACATTTGAGAGAAGTAAATGCTAGGAAAAGAGTTAGACAGAAATGTACATTGTCATAGGGTAGCTTGAGGAATAAATATACAAGGATAAAATATTAGCATGCCTAGATTTGCGGATGATATGATAGTATTAGCTTCCATCATCATCATCATAAGGTCATCAGTCCTAAGACTGGTTGGACACGTACCTCCACTCTTTCCTATCCTGAGCTAAACTTCGCATTTCCCTAAAACTAGAACAACCCACATCCTTAACTATTTGCGAAGAGTAATCTAATCTAGGTCACCCTCTACTCCTCTAAACTCCTGTTTCTGTCTCTAATATGTCTCTGACTAGACCTTCATGCCTGAGAAGGTGTCCTACCAACACATCTTGTCTACGAAATCCATTACGAAATATATCTCCTTCAACTACAGATTATTATTATTTATTTTATTCCTGATATCTAAAATAGATAATTAATAAATATAAATGTGTGTATATTTATACATATATATACAATATGAAAAATATAGTATATTATCAAAGCGATACAGTTTAAAGTATTTCAAGAGTCATAAAGCCTTTCAAAACCGTTAATAGGTTGAGCCCAGTTATCAGGGGACCATTTAACATTTTTCGACTCCATTACTTGAAATATAAAAGCATCTCTGCGTTTATCTGATTTATTTTCACCACTGAAGTGATATGTGTTACCATCGAAGAGGATGGCATCTCCTAAAATACACATTATTTTTACATACTGTAACGGTGAATGTAGATAAAGACATTTACAAAAGGTAAATGGAAGATTAATTTCGATATGTCACTGATAGGACTTAAGTAAGTTCGTTAAACTCAATGGGGTGGCTGGTCGTGACTACTCATCGTCAGATAAAAATATCTGTATTTAATCGTTCTGAAATTGTTTTTTATTTTTTAAGTGTCACTAAATTTTTAAAAATTCCTGCCTACCTAAATACGATATCCTAACTAATATTTTATATATACAAATGCGAATGTGATTTTGTTTGTTTGCTATCATTTCACTCATTAACTGCTCAATCGATCATCATAAAATTTTGTACACTCATTATCAGGGGTACAGAAAAGGACATAGGGTACTTTTTATCCAGAAAAAAATACTGTTTCCGAGGGACAGGAAGAATTAGTTTTATGTGGTTGTCGATGAACTTTGAAACGAATTTAGAACATTAATGCGAGCGAAGCCGCGGGTAAAACCTGTCATGAAATTTTGTATATACATTGTTAAGGGTACAGAAAAAGATACAAGGTTTATCTAAAAAGAAAACAGCAGTTCTTCAGAGATATAATCATTAGTTTTATGTGATCGTTGATGATTTTTGACACGTATTTAGGATTTCAACGCGAGCGAAGTGTGTGATAAATCATCACTGTTGATTTTATGAATAATTGCAATAATAAATTAAAGCATTTGTTCCATTGTGTTATTGTTTAAGTCTTAGCCCAATTTAATGTTAAGAGTTGAATAGTATGTAGGTATCAATACTTTTGCTATTGTGTCTTATCAACATTTAACGGTTACTAACCGTTTCTATAAAAAAAAATTAAATAACCAACATTACATACTAACTTTTGCTTGAACATTTAGGATTCTTTTAGTAGTAATAAATAATTAAAACTACAATAGTGTAGGTAATTGCCCTGTGTTCATGGATGTAAGTTGTAGTTTATGAATTCCTAGTTCGGCATTCACTCAGTTCTATTATAGTAAAAGTTCGTGAATTGATTGGATAGGTTAGGTTGGGTTGGGTTACACATCTATCATTATTTATTACCTGCTGCGCATTGAACTGGTTCGAAATTTTCTGTATTAATATTTATTGGAGGTTTATCGAACATAATGTCATCTTTTTTATCACTTTTTGGATTTCTTTTCATGTCTTTGGCATAGGTATATTAATAACATAATAAAACTACTTTTGTAATAGTATCAATTTAGTGAACTAAAATATTCCAAATAAGAAACATTGGTATGTAATGGGTATAGAAAACCGATGATGGTTCCGTTCCTGAAGAAGTTGGATAAATTACTCGATGAAAAGCCCTTTCAAGAAGTTTTCTGATTTTCACCGATAAAATACCTAATAATAATAATAATTTTA